ACCAGTCTGTGATTCTATGACTCATTCTTTCTGACTGATGGCTTCTTCCTCAGAAAAGTCTTTATTTTTGAATATCTAGCATATAATATATGTTTAATTACACTTGATTCTTTGAAACAGTTTTTCTTTCAAAACAGCACTGTACAATTTTTATTAGCCCTGTTGCAGAGTCCTGGCATTTTCTCCTCTTAACAGAGTTAACACTCGTAACTGTGTTCTGTGAAGGTTTTCAAGAGCTACTATATTACTTCCCAGGGAGAGCAAAGCTTCTTAATAGTTTGAGAATATAATTCAGATTTAGGTGGTTTTGTATCTGTTCCATCACACTTTTTTGGACAAAACCTTTCGCAGAATGTCTGTGATACAAGAAAGAGGCTGTTGTATTGTTCATTCCCCTGTGTGACATTTTAAAGAGTGCAAAACATTGTTAGGTTATTATGTGAGTTCCTGAAATGCGTGATTTACTGAATGGAGATATTTTACACAGGAGATGATAGTATGATAGTCTATTCTTGTTATTTACCAAACAATACAACTCTAACAAGTAACTAAAAAAAGTTACTCTAAAAACAAGCAACTACATCTCATAGAATCACAGAATGGTTTGTGTTGGAAGGGACCTTAAAGAGCATCCAGTTCCAACCCCCCTGCCATGGGCAGGAACACCTTCCACTAGACCAGGTTGCTCCAAGCCTCATCCAGCCTGGCCTTGAACACTTCCAGGGATGGGGCATCCACAGCTTCTCTGGGCAACCTGTTCCCGTGCCTCCCCACCCGCTGTGGGAAGAATTTCTTCTTGATATCTAATCTAAATCTCCCCCCTTTCAATTTAAACCCGTTCCCCCTTGTCCTGTCACTACAGACCCTTGTAAAAAGTCCCCCCCAGCTTCCTTGTAGCCCCTTCAGGTACTGGAAGGCTGCAATAAGGTCTCCCTGGAGGCTTTTCTTCTCCAGGCTGAACAAGCCCAACTCCCAGCCTCTCCCCAAGGCAGAGGGGCTCCAGCCCTCATGTTCATTATCTTCGGTATGTTACAAGCAAGAAATTTCATTGTAAGAATGATCTGGATTGATGTCCCTCTCCAACAAACTCCCGTCAAGCACTGTTTCTGTATAGTAAGTTCCAGTCACTCTGGTTCAGTGCATTTCTGAGATGACCATAACGTTGGTCTTGTTGCCTAGTGCACTGCTATTCCATCTGGATAAGTGTTGGGAAAGGATGTGTTTTCTACCACTCTTCAGCCTTCCCGCCACCCCTCCCTGAGCTGGTGTTTGTGAATGAGTCAGGTGTACGCTGCTGCCCGTGGTCCATATATTATTTACAGTTACTTTGGTGTCGCTACAGAGTCTGTTTCTCAGTTCCAGAGACTTCTGCTCCTGCTGTGGTTCCGGCACCCTGGCTGGTCAGGCTACATTCCCACACTCCCTCCTTTCTGCCTGCCAACTGGACATCACCTTTCTTCTCTGAAACTCCTACCTCCTTCCTTAGAACGAGGACTCCTCTGCGATTCTTCTAAGCCCTTTCCGCTGAAAAGCCAGCCTAGGGTCATTAACACTGTTACAATACACCAAAACCGTCTCAAAGGGGGAATCCCTAAATGGAGAAGTAATTTGAAATGTTTTCTGAAGTCTGTTTGTGAAAATAACCCCCGTGGTGTCGCCGCCCTAGACGGGCGAGGGCTGAAACGCGGGGATCTTGGCAAAGAAGCGAGGTTTCCGTAGGTGCTACCACAAATCACAGCAAGTGCTGACCACGGGTGTGCCCAACTGCTTTCTGAGTTTTGAGGTTTTTTAACATTCTCCATTTCTTCTACGGCTTAACACTCCAGCCAAGATTTTTCTGGTGACTGAGGATTTGATTATTGGAAACAAATCACCCGTGCTTCTTCAAGCTAGGATTCCAATCAGTGTGTACCCATTAGAGAGAGATCGGGTTGAAAACAAAGGAAGACGCCGAACAAAAGCTTTGATCCAGCAAGATTTTGAATACTCTGGCTCCGTTCCACGTCGCACAAACACAAGCTGAGGTTTAATTGTATGAGGTGACTTTGATGGAACTGCTCATGTGTGTAAAGTGCTTTGTGCTTAATTTTGGTGTTGCCAAGTGCTCGGCCACCTATCAGGGTTAAGACTTTTGATCTTCTTTGAAAACGCGTGGTTGTTGAAAATTTTGAAGGGCATCAGTTTTCGGGAAAACCGAGGAGGAGACGTGTTAAGTGTTTTCAGTATGCAAAGGTAATGGAAGCTATGAAGCGAATAAAAGAGAAAGTCGGGGCTAGTTTAGAGTGGCTAACGAATTACTCGTGTTTAAAGGAGGTCTCCTTTTGGGTGCCAGCATGTTGCTAATTGGATTTATTGAGGAAGTGAGTTTGTGTATGAAATTTCAGGTTGTGAACCAGCAGAAATGATCTGCTTTGAAAATGCTGGTGTTTCTCTCATCAAACTGATACTTCACCAACGCGCTGTGTTCACCTGAAATAGAGGCATTTGAAAGACAAATCTGAGTTAGGTGCAATCAAGTTAAATATTTAACAGATCTACACAGGTACGACAACGTCGAATAAAGCACCGGCATCTGAGTGATGTCTGATTTAGAACAAGGCCCTTGGGTGTCCCAGCTGTGTCGAGTGATGCTGCCAGCCCAGCAGGAAAGCTGCAGTCACAAATGATGGTCGTAAAAGTTTTTGGGCTTTAAACGTTTAACGTGTGTGTGCGTGGGGTGATAAGATGCTTTCGGGAAGTAAAATTGTATGCGAAGAGGGGAGAAATAGAAATACCTGAAAAGTTCGTTTCTGTAAGTTTTTCTCAACAAATAGAAAATGAGCAAGCTCCTGTCACTAGGCATGTGGAGTTGCATTAATATTTATCAGTTACATATTTTTAACAGGTTACACAGCTCTTTAGCTTATAAAATCGACATTCTGCAAATTGGCCACTTGGTGGTGCCAGATGGATTTATAAATCAGGGATGTGAGCTGAGGTATCATAGCTGTATCTGGGGAGTGTACTCTGAGAGGATAAAATACTGTTGGAAAACTTCGGTTCCATGGTGGCACTGGTGCAGCTGTACTCGACGTCACTTCTGCCCTCCATCCCTCCAGTCCCTCTCTGTCCGTCCAGTACGAGAGAGAGTAAATGCATAGCAGAGCTGTACCTCTGAGGACAGAGTTCCTGGAACATTTCCCCTGTACCACGCACCCAACCAAAACTAGTTTGGATTCCAGGCAAGGCACAGAAGATCATAGAACCATAGAACGGTTTGGGTTGGAAGGGACCTTAAAGCCCACCCAGTCCCACCCCCTGCCATGGGCAGGGACACCTTCCACTAGACCAGGTTGCTCCAAGCCTCATCCAGCCTGGCCTTGGACACTTCCAGGGATGGGGCATCCACAGCTTCTCTGGGAAACCTGTGCCAGTGCCTCCCCAACCTCTCCGGAAAGAATTTCTTCCTGATGTCCCATCTCAATCTCCCCACTTTCAATTTAAACCCATTACCCCTTGTCCTGTCACTACAGGCCCTTGTAAAAAGTCCCCCCCAGCTTCTTTGTAGCCCCTGCAGGTACTGGAAGTTGCTGTAAGGTCTCCCTGGAGCCTTCTCTTCTCCAGATGTGTCACTGAGTTCCGCTTCCATGAGTTGCAGGAAGGGCAATGATCATTGTAAATGTAAATCTGAACAGAAAGACCCATGCGATTAACTTAACCTTCCTCCATCTCTCAGCTCTGGGTCTGCTCTTCAGCAGACTTTGATGCCGTGTTTTACTAAAATGTTGCACTTTGTCACCCTGTTTCGGTGTTATCAGTGTGTATCCATGTGTCAGCAGTGACGTACGTTTACACCAGCCTTCATAACTCCTTTTTTTTTTTCTCTCTCTCTCTCTATACTGCAGTTCCAAAAGAATTGGTGGAGCTTCACTTGAAACTGATGAGAAAGATTGGGAAGTCTGTCACGGCAGACAGATGGGAAAAATATTTGATCAAGGTACAGCGCGCGCATCGTGTCACTCTGCAATGCTGGAATGTGGTGATGATGCCCTGTCGTGTCGGCGAGCCCCGCTGGGAGTTAGAGCGAGCCTCGGGCTGTGGCGTCGGTTTGCGTGCCCAGGCTTCAGCTGAGTAAGATCCCAGCTTAACGTTTGGTCTGCCGAGGCTTGCGTGGAAAAACCCTTCGAAAGCAGAGAGAATCTTCTGCGTGTACAACTGCACACCTTCATTCCTGGTAGTAAAACACTGTTTGGGGTGTTAACACCCTTCAAAAAAGAGATTTAGTAGCCTGCCAACAGGTTGAGTTGAGCAGACCTTTACACAGTAACAATCCATTTGTGTATTAAATTGTCTGCCTGGGATTTAATTCCTGCGATTTGGTTGGTATTCACACAGTGACCTACCTGTAACGTGTTAGTAATAAATTAAAGGTTGCAGGGATGTGTATCTTCATGCTCAGGACGGCAGATCTAAGGTGAAAATGCAGGAAAAACACAGCATCCTGCTGTTTTACCTAATTCTGTAGTGGTATGTTACTTGGGGCTTACTCCCTTGTTGGCACCTCACATGCCAAGAGTTTTCAGTTTAGAGCATTTCCACTGCTGCAGAAAATAAAAATACGCCGATACTCAACAGGAAGAGGTTGCCATTTCCCCTCTGGACATGTTCCACGGGCCTTTTGATTGGCAGCAATGTAACCTTGCTGTTGTCTGTACAGCCGTGGTGGCTGGGAAGACAGCGTTAGGGTAACAGCGAGGGTACGGACAGTGGCACTGGGCAACTCCGGGTGCAGCCCA